CCATGACTAAAACAATGTTCCTTGACAGACCTGTACATAAACTTGTTACATTGATTGAAGCAAATGAAAGTACTTGTCTGACCAGCCGCTAAGTTTCCTTAGAAATCCCACACTGGGTTTTGTGTGATTTGGTGGGAGTGTAACTGCAGTTGCTGTTTATTTCTTCATTTATTTATTTTCCCATTTGTAAGACACTGGGTTAGTTGTGTTTCCTGTAATTTTATTTTGAAAAGCGACATGAGCTGCTCTGCCAGCCACACCCTTGATTTGATGGATACAAGCCAGGTGTGAGGAACACAGAACCTGGATGAAGTGCTAACAAGCAGACAGCTAATGGACTGCTAAAGAACTAACTAGTAAAAGGACTTAAAGGAAACTAGTAAAAGGACTTAAAGGAAGATGGATTCCCTTTGTGTTTTAAGCAAACAGCCAACGAGGTATTTATTTGTCTTTATTTTATTGCACATTATTGTATATGTTTTAATTGTACTATCCTGTATTTAGTTTCACGGTTTAAGAGAGGTCTAAGAAAGGAGGACAGAAGAGGTCCACAATGAAAAGACGTCCAATAAACCCGTAAAAGAAATCACTTGCGTCTGTGTTGCTTGGAGGGAATCATAACTGGGATGGACAGGACAAAGGCAACCAGCCAGAGCAGAGCCAACAGCAGTATCAGTTGTTTCTTTTGTACACTCAGCTGGCGCACAACCACAAGGTTGTGGGGAATGCTTAACCCAGTCCCAGTCAGCAGGCTGCTGTATAGTGCAGTACCCAACGTATGCTAGAAGCTTACAGGTGACCACACCAAAGATCTCTTCATAGAAGTTAGCATAAATCCATATAGGGTCAGCGGGCAGAGCACGTCGGAGACGGGCAGATTCAGCAGCAAACTCTGGGTCAGACTGGACATGCACTGCCAGTTTGGTCTGAGGACAATTACAGCAATGTTTCCAGAAACTCCAAGAACAAAGATGAATGACATCATCACTGCAGGAACTGGACCTCTGGAGCACCAGTGGAGATGAGGTGGAAGTCGTGGAGGAGAGGTGAAGTTAGAAGGTTCCATTGTGGCGTTTGACTGATCCATGTTGTGTCTTGTTGGTGAAGTTGTGCATCGAGCCACTGGTGTTGAAATTATAATTAGCTCATGAGATGTTATCTCCTCAGCACTCAAACCGTTGCCTATAAGGGAAATCGTGATGCTGCTTATTGAAGTGAATATTTTTAACAGGCTGTTGCAACAAATTCTGCTAAAATAACCTACGTATCATGTCGACGTGTTTTGCAGCTTTAAAGACAGCTACATTGGGAAAAAAAAGAACGTCACAGTTTATGCCATAATTTGCAGTGTAGTATCAAAAGATAAACATTTCATAAAGGCAGTTTGATATTTCTGGTTCACTGAATTTCATGGACTCCATTTTTTCTGCATTATTGTTGAGGGTTGTACGGAACTGTTGAGCAATGGTCGTCTCACACAAAAATTTCTCATCAGTTTTGATGCAATAAATATTCTGAACAGAGTTTTATATGATTGTTCCAGTCCGTGACGAAAAGAAACCTTCAAGTTCATGTTCAAGTGATCAGGAGAAGCTGTTTGCTTGTCGTACACCAGAATAGGACCAGGAAACCACCAAAGCTGCAGCGTTAAAATAGATTCTTAGCTAACCCAACACATGTGACGCTCACAGAGAGGGACCAGAATGTCTTTGCACTAAACAGACAAGTCGAGCTAAAGTTCAGACCAAGAATAGCTCAAAGTGAATGTTTTCCACATCTTCACCCATCTACATCACAATTTCTGTTTGGCATTGTTTGTAGTATGTTTGGCAGCCACATTTGGGTGGTCTTCCAATGTCAAGGTGAACAAGATGTTTTCAGCTTCGGCTTTAGCTCCATACCCGTTCACAATATCAGAATGAGCACGCTCACCAGTGGCGGTTCGTCCATAAGGGGCGCTAGCCCCCCCCCCCAAAAGTCTCACAGGAAGAGGAAGAAGAAGATAGGAATCATAAAATATAAATGAATAAATAAAACTAAATTATCTATATATTATACAGATAACTGCGGTCTGTAATCTGCATTAAAGTCTAGTTTAAAAACGTTTTCTCACTCTTTTACCATGACTGAATCTTCTTGTGACTAGGGTTGCACATCTCTCTGTGAAAAATGATTCGATGTGAATCTAGAGTCACAGGTTAGGATTCAATTTAAAAACAAAAGGCTTTTATTACAGACCGATTCGATTTAAATACACTGTAAGAACGAAACCATTTGATTCAGTTTATATTTTTTGAAGAGTTTTGTAAAATAAAGATGCCAATTCTGTTAAAGAAACAGTACAAATGTCTTTTCAAAAACCACATTGTGTCTTTACCCACCATGCAAAGACTTAGTTTGGACGTCATACGGACGTGGTCTGGACCGTCTGCTGTTTGCAGGGTATGGCACGTGCAAAAACACAAAACAAAAACAAAAAATAACCCAGCATAACAAATTCACATGTCAGTGTATTTATTTTTAGACATGAACCAAGAAAAAGTGGATGATTCTTCAGATGGAAACTCTATAGATAAATATAATGGGTACCGAATTCGGTACTTTTTAAGTTACCGACCGAATTCCATAGTACCGACCGAGCACTGATTCACGTCATTTGAAACGGTGCCTCGTTTCGGTACCCGTCCTTCATAACGAGAACTTGCCTAGACAGCTGCGCATGCGCAAGAGCGTTATGTCATCGGTTGCTGCGAGCCAGTTGTAAACAGAGCAGCATGGTAGAAAGAACGCACGCTAAAGCTTGGGTCCACTTCGCTAAATGAGATGGGTAACTGGGTGATGATGAAACCAGCGACAACGATCTAAGTGAGACATCCTCATCTTAATCTGCTCCGGTAGGTAAATAAAATGTTTAAGATAACGTTAGCTTGATATGTTAGCTCGCGTTTCGCTAATGGTGCGTTCGCTTTCTCCTCGGAACCCCGAATTTCCGACTAGAAGAACATGAACGCGCTCTAAAGTTTGGCTTCACTTTACTAAATGCGACGGGTGATTGGGTGAAGATGAAACCAGTGACAACGATCTAAGTGTGAGGCATCATCGTTTTAATCTGCTCCAGCAGCTAAATAAACTGTTAAGATAACCTTAGCTTGATATGTTAGCTTCCATTGCTACCAATGTTATCAGCTAATGGTGCGTTCGCTTTCTCCTCGGAAATTCTAACTTCCCAGTAGGAAAAATCTAATGAAAAAGGACGGCAAAAGGAATGAAGATACACAGTAAATTTAGTTCACAGTAAAGATGTTTGCTTCAGTTTAATTATCAGCTTATAAAACTACAAGGACGATGTTAAAATACAAACAGTTGTATGTTATTTATCGTGATATTTATCAAATATGGTTATATATTGAGAAAAAAATATATTTAATTATAAAAGAGAATTAAAATATTAAACACTCCAAAGTATCGAAAATTGGTACCGTTAAGTACCGGTATCGATTCCTAGGTACCGGGAATTAGTACCGGATCGATTCAAATGTCAAAGGTACCCATCCCTAGTACTGAATAATTACGACGAGCATCATTTCAGTCTGAGCTGAGTGTTTTGAACACCAGAGATAGGTAATAGGTGCAGCATATCAATGTAAACAAGTTACACACTTATAAACAAAGTAATAATAACCTTATAACGATTACCCCTGTTGGTCATTTCAAAATGTAGCCTCAGGCCTGCTGAGCCAGAGTGGAAGGACAAAGCAGCAGCAACGTTCTTATCTCAGTACTTAACACAGTGACTAGTGCTTCATGTAAATAATTATAGAAAACAAAATATACGTATAAAATTAATCAAACAGCTGCTTTTTGACCTGTGAAAGGTACTCAGCATACCCTTGGCTGTGCTTCCTTGCACACTGGTCCAGATTTGTAGTACTGCCAGTGTAGGTCAACAACGATCAACACAGTTCACAAATAGCATCGCTTCTGTCGAACTTCCCTTCGTTTTTAGGAAACCCCAAAACGGTCCACACTTTGGATTTTTGTTTTCCCGATGCGCTGACAATCTGTCTTGGTGTATTATCACCTCCGCTACGCTAAAACTTCTTGACATTGGGTGTTGTTGAGGTAGAAAATGAGAATTCTATTGTTTACATGGGCCTCTTCCTGTATGTGTGCAGTTTGCATGTATTGGTGAATATTAAACATGTTTTTGGAACAACTGTGTTCAGTGTCAGACTGAAAAAAATTAGACCCCACCAAACATCTGACCAATCTTTAAATGACTTTTTTGTTGAAAAGATTATTTTCATCCAGCAATATTTTCTCACAGAAAGTTGCAACTTTAAGTTTTCTTCTCTCGCTTTCTGATGAGCCACCTTTAGCTGTTTGATGACTCGCTCTTGGGGCTAGAGGTTTTATTTCTCATCCTTGCTGTGGCGAGTGGATTTCCTTTGTACCTTCCTAGAGACAGATGACTAGCTATGGTGAAGAAAATGACCCAAAATCATACAATCATAAATGCTATATTGGAATTTTTGAAGAAGGGGAAGAAATGACTCACATGTGTTTTCCTAAAATGTGTATTTTTAAGTGTATCAAAATATACAATATTTTCTTATTGTGTAAAATATAATTACAATCAAATGTTTGTCATTTGGAAAAATGCATGTGTTGAAAAATATCACCATATGATAGTGGTCTCAGTGTGTATTTTTGTACACCAACAATTAATTCACTTTTAAAATATTCAGTTTTATTTAAAGCAGTAAATCAGCACAAACGGTGAAGGAAGTTGCAGAGAAACGACACCGTGGTGCAGGTTGATGCTCACTGTCCAAATTCTTCAGTTATCTGCACACTTGTTGACGAACTTTGGAACGTTCTTTCAGTGTTTGGCTTCTAATTCCATTTTTGGTCTTTTTTAAAACGCAGGAAAGGTTTCTCTCTACTTTGCTTCAAACGCCATCTTCGTTGTTTATGAGAAGATGGCGTTTGAAGCAAGGTAAAGAGAAACCTTTCCTGCGTTTTAAAAAAGAACCAAAAATGGGACTTGTTGACTATGCCCTTGTTCTTATTGAAGATAAGTTTAGAATTTTGAACACATTTAAATTTGCATCAGTTTACGGTAAAACTGGAATGGAAATATTGTCTGTTTTTGTTCTGAATAAATGGTTTATAAATGGAAATAGCCTGCCATCTGCTGGTGAAAGGCTTTGTTACAGTTGTGAAACAGGCAAATATTTTAATGTTGATAAAATATTGACATAATTTTTTTCACTGAGGAGTATAACAGGTGATCTTTAACTTGAAATCAGAACTAAATTGGTAAACTGTTAAAGGATTTTTTATTTAATTTGTACTGGTTACGCAGCTGAAACAACTGCACACATTTTGTGTTTGAAAAACAAACAGAAAATTAAAAGAAGACCTTCTTTATTGGTTGAAAGACTGAAAGTTCTGTTTTTTCTCTTTATCTCTTCTGCTTTTGCTCTCGATGTTCCCTAATTCTAGTAACCAAACCTTGTGAAGATTTTCAGAAGAAAATTGAGAAGGCTATTGTAAAAGCACAAGTAAGTAAGTAAGTAGTAAGTAAGTAACTTTATTTCTATAGCACCTCTCACAGACAAAAAGGTCACAAAGTGCTTCACAAGTTAAAAGGCAACAACATATAAATACAGTAAAATACAGCCACAATATACATCGTGTCAAATAAAACCAATCCGAATGAGACTAAGTTTAAAATGCCTGGAGAAACAAATGGGTTTTAAGATTGGCTCTTAAAAACATCAACTGAGTCGATTGAGCGTAAAGACAGAGGTAGCTCATTCCAGAGCCTAGGAGCGACGGCCTGGAATGAGCGATCTCCTCGTGTCCTGAACTGAGTACGTGGGACCATTAAAAGGTTTTGATGCAGAGATCTCAGCCTGCGAGAAGGCGTGTAAGGGCAGAGCATGTCTCGAACATACAATAGAGCCAGACCATGCAGCGCTCTGAAAGTCAGCACAAGAATTTTAAAATTGATGCGAGATGAGATTGGAAGCCAATGAAGAGCTTTTAAAATGGGGGTAATGTGGGCCCTTCTGTTGTCACGGGTCAGAATTCTAGCTGCACAATTCTGGACTTGTTGTAAGCGGGACAGCTCTTTTTTGTTTAGACAAGAAAATAAACTATTACAGTAGTCTAAACGGGATGATGTAAACGCATGAATAATCAACTCAAGATCAACTTTAGACACCATTGTTCTGAGTTTAGAAATTTGTCTCAAGTGGTAAAAACAGTTTCTAGTTAACTGCCTTGAGTGATGTTCAAGAGACATTCCCTTGTCAAAGAAAACTCCAAGGTTTCTAAGGGTAGGTTTTACAGACAAACTCAGATCACCTAACTGCTGGTGAATCCCTGGAACCGCATTACACACAAATGTACTGTCCTAGTCCAACGAAACAACAATAGAGACAACTTCCTTACTCCAACTGGTTGTGTCTGCCCTGGATGTTTATGCACTACATAATAACCACAATCATCAATGTTGACGTCATCTCTACAGCAACAGTTGGGTTTTAGAATGAATGAATGAATAGTCGTTGCCTATTTTTAAGAAGGAACTCAATAAACAAACATTCTATAAAGAGCAAAACTGATCTCAGTCCCAGCTTTAAATTTAAATTCAATGTTAAAGAAAAGAAAAAAGTTCAATGAAAAGACTAAAACAGATAAAGTAATTTATGAAGAAACACTTTCCAGGAGACAAAATGAAACCCTGTTTCTGTGTCAGGCGAATAAATAAAACAATAAGTTGTTTAAAAGTCACAGTATAATTTTTAAAGATACTTTATTGTCATTTGTGTAACTTCCTACTGTAGCGAACTGCAACATTTCCTGTGAAATACTAATTGACATATAAAAGTTTTATTGTAGACACTAAAATGTCAAAGAGAAGACACATCTTCAACAGGAACCTGTTTAGATGCAAACTAAACCAAAGAGGAACTAAATGGGTTCAACTTATAGTCAGAATCTGTTTGGTAATTAACAGCAAAGATAAATAAAGGTAAATTAAATTAAAAAAAGTATTTTTACATCGCAATAAATCATTAAAATGTGTATTATGTAAGTCGTGTTGTGACAAATAGATGATTACATCATATAACCGATTTTATTTTGAACTTCTGGTACCCGCACATGCCGACACTTTTTCGTGCAGTTTATCAGTTGACATTTCCAAAACTACAGAACAAATATTCTGTCTCTCTTAATGGTAGTACCAGCACTTACTTTCTTCAACTTCAAGAACTGTTCCAAACCCACACCATCATCATCTTTTACGCAGTGAGAAATGACATTTCTAAATATTGTCACTGGCAAAGTTCTGCAACTGTAGAAACTTCTGTTACCTGAGAGATTGTTTCCATTTGCGTTACTGGTTTATGTTTTCGACAGCTCATGCTGATTTTACCAGATGCAAAAGCATACAGGAATGGATTCAGGAAGCTGTTTGTGAATGTTACCGATCCTACAATGTTCTTTGTGTCTTTATAAAACTTCAAAAGGCTTTCATTTTTGAGGCAAATGGCAACCACACCCAAAATGTTTACAATGTGGTATGGAGCCCACAGGACAAATAAGCTTACGATGATGCTGGTAACCAGTCTGGTCGTCTGTGGATATTTGAAAAAGGCTGACTGGTTAACAGTTCTCTTGATCTGAATGTATGAAAAAGCCACAATAATAAAGGAAAGAAATCCAAACGTGGTCTCTGTCATCAGTGAAGCTATCTGTTGGGAATCAGAAGAGTACTGGTCTTGACAGTCTGGCCACAGTTGATTTTTAACGCTTCGAGTCACCAAAGACGGAGTGGACAGGGTGAAAGACACCAGCCAGAGCAGAGCCAGCAGCAGTCCAGTCTGTTGACAGCTCTGCCGGTGCACGACAACAAGGTAGCGTTGAATGCCTAGTCCGGTCACAGTGAGAAGGCTACCGTAAATGGTGCAGCACTCAACGTATGCTAGAAGCTTACAGGCGACCACGCCAAAGTGCCAGCCGTACAGGAAAGCATAAATCCACGGAGGAAGGGTCATCAGGCAGAGCAGATCAGAGATGGCCAGGTTTAGCAGCAAAGACTGGCTCAGACTGGACATTCTCGCAAAGTTGGGCTTAAGAATGATCACAGCGATGTTTCCAGGAACTCCCAAAACGCAGACGAGGGACAACATCACCGCAGGAACCAGACCGCTGGAGTCCCAGGAAGGATGAGGTCCTGCAGAAGAGGTGAAGTTGAAAGTAGCCATGGTGGAATTTGGTTGATCCATTGTGTGACGATTTGTTCTGAGCTACTGACAGTGGTAAACGTGTCTTTTGTTTTATACCAAAGAGGAACTTTTAAAAAAACAGGAAATTGTAGATGGAAAGAGACAGAAACCTTATCCATCACTTTTGCATTTTTGGCCCTTTCATTTAACAAACAATGGCTTTAAATCTGAACAAATCTATGTAAGTAAAACTTTGTTATACAGAACTTTTTAAACGTGCATTATATAAGAATGAAACACTAATGCCATCTTGTGGTCAAATTTGGTTACTGCAGCCCATTTTCAAAACACAAAAGTTACTTTCTCACCACTTCGACTTTCATGGCTGTCGCCAGTTACGGCAAGAAGATTCTAGATGACGTGTGTAGACGAGATTTTAATTTAATTTTAATACAAAGGATCAGCAGTTCTTTGTGTCTTCTTCTGAGTTTCTCACCCTAAATCTGAAGCGGAGTCCAGCCAACCCTGATTTATGTTAATGAATCTCTTCATGTCTTGCTGCTTTCTGCTAAATATCAAACTTTAGAGGCAGAGACTGACCTTTGAATCATCCCAACTGAGAACCATGGCCCTGGACTTGAAGGAGTTTACTCTCACGGTGGCTGTTTCACACTACAAACTGCTCCAGAGTACACACCCCATGTTCTAAAGATACCATCAGATCTCCATGATCAGCAACAACAACACAGGTAAGATTTGTTTCAGACTCTTATTATTATATTAAATGAAAATTTCAGCCATAGAAATAGGCTGCATAAATGGTGGGGTACTCGGTATATGCTAAAAGCTTACAGGCCACCACAGCAAAGATCCAGCCATGGAAAAAAAGAGTAAATCCATACCGGAAGGGCGAGCATTACCAGCAGGTCACAGATGGCCAGATTCAGCAGCAAACTCTGGCTCAGACTGGATAAATGCTTCCAGTTAGGTTTAAGGATGATGCCAAACATTTTTCCAGGAACTCCAAGAAGGAAGCAGAATGACAAGACTGCTGCAGGAACCAGGGGCCTCATTTATCAAGCTTGCTTACGCACAAAACAGTGTCGGAAAACTGCGTAAGCAACTTTCCACGCAAACTGTGGGATCTCATTTATCAAACATTGTGTAGAATCCTTACTAAAACCGTACTTAAAGAGCAAGTAACGTCTAAATTAACTTTTTTTTGCTGATGAACTGTATAAATGAGTGTCTAATAGTGTTTTAAATGTGTGCATTCTTTATTTTAGCATTTTGGTGCATTTTCTTTAAAAATTAAAAATTCTGTCTAAAAACCACAGTAATGCGCCACCTTCAGCTGAAAACATAGAATTTGAGTCATTTTGAATAAATTTTAGCCAATGGCTAAAGAGTAAAGTACTACGTAAACCAGTAGAGTACTACGTAGCAGCTCCGTGCCAAAGTTATAAAAGCAACGAGCGTCTTGGCCACGCCCTGTGGCGAGTTGGGAGTTGGATTTGCAAGCGAGTGTAGGAGGTCAGCGGTAGTTCAGCATTAGCGTATAGCATTAGCATATCCTAGTCTTAGCATATCTTTTAGTGTTATAAATACTTATTTAGTGTTAGATTTGGCTGTTGGATATTGTAGTTTAGTTAGTGTTTGGCTGTTAGTGTAATTGGGAAAGTATTTCGGGTTTAGTGCTCCATATCGTCTTAGTATTGGTGAGTAGGTGTAGTGTAGTATGCTTGCGGTGACTCTGTGGGCATTTTACCCGCGATTCTGCACGTCTCCGTTTGAAGAGGGAGGCTGCCCACCGTGGCTCTTCCGCGATTTAGATGCAGCCCACCGACTCTGCTCCCCCACCATGGCGGGCTCCAGTCTGAGGTGAGTAAGCTAAATAAACGTTTTAACATCTTCTAAAGACAATTCCCTACCTAAATGCAAAGTCTGAGAGACGTGGTTCACTTCCTTTAGCTAGTCAGTCGGCAATTCTGCAACAGTGGCTCTAACTGACGCAGCACTTGACAGACAGCATTACAGCATGAAATCCAGCTTGTGAACAGGTTCTGTGAGGAATTCTGTTCAGGAGGTCGCATTTCAGGCTCTCCATATCATATGTGACTGACTTTTACGTTATAATGATCACACACTAGGAATGTTATAAAGCGCCTATATAGGACAGTTTCTTTTGTATATTATCTGACTTTATAAACTCCCAACAACAATGTGCTTATATATTTTTTTCAGGCTAAATCTACCCAAGACACTGGCTGTCAGACTGATTTAGCTGCAAGAATGCACTTGTCCAGGCGAAGCAAAGGTGAATTATTTTTAATAATCTTCTATGTAAACATTTTATTATTACCTTCTAGTTTTAATTTGTTTTACAGATTATTGTTATACGTGATTTTATGCTCTTTTAAACATTTATAAATGTGCTGCTTCTTTGTTTTTACATAGCCAGCCAGAATGGAGTTCACAGCCGCAGTGTGTCTGGTGACCCACGGGGACCATGATGAAAATTCATCTTCCAGAAGGTCCCAGAGCAGCGGCCACACCCCCTGAAAAGACCAAGATGTGAGGTGTCTGCTGTTGATTCCAGCTTCCACCTCAGTGACAGTGCAAGCTCAGTGAACTGTTCAAGGTAAAAAAAAAATTAAAACATTTCAGAATTTTTAAGATATTAACAATTAAATAAGTATGTATTACATCATGACATCATGAAGGAGGCTACTGATTCTGCCCCCGTGACACTTGGTGGTGACGTGTGAGCTGATTCACCTGGAAAACAACTTTTACATAAAATGTTTTGTTTTTGCTATCAAAAGTAAATTAACTAATAACCTGCATTATTGCAGGACACTCAGCAAAATATGGACTCTACACCATGAGGCAGGCACACGTTAATAACTCTATAAGAGCACATAAGGTGAGCAACACCACATATTGTACACTGTCCTGAATTTGTTTTCTTTCTGCATCTCATTAGCCTGGCTGATCACCTGATAACTCCTGTCATCTGGTTATGACAGCATGAGGATGTCCTCACACACCTGTAACCTATCAGCTCATCTGGCAGAATAGAGAGAGAAGAGACAACACCACATCTCCTGTTCCTGGAAAGCCTTCAGCCATCCTTCGATGACTGAGAACCTCCATCAGCTCTGTCTCCTGTCTGCCCACAATTATTATAATAAATATTGTGTTTGACAAGTTTTTTGTGCTGCCAAATATCTCATTTAGATTCCAGTTTTGATATTTTAATGGATATTTATAAATTACATTAATTGAATTATCACAATGCATGTTTAACTTGCTCTATTGTGATGAATTAAACTAGCACCTCACTGTTAAAAGCTCGTTTTAATTTCAAGCATGTTTAAGTATTTATGGACATGAACAAAAACAGGAAATATATAATATATAAAATGAGATTTATTTAATTAATATAACAAATAAGGGGGAAAGAGTCATTGAAAGGCACATTCTTCTGGAAGTTCCTGATCCTGACGACACCAGCAGAGGAGACCACCTGCAGACACCAGAGACCAGCTGCAGACACCAGAGGACCTAGAACCAAGAGAGCAGCTGTTATCAGTAAATAAATAAACCAGGGCAGTTTTAGTGAGCTGAACACATTACAGAATAATTTTCTCATGGGGCATTTTCATAACTTTATGCAGCAGACTGTAACTTGAGCCCAGAGCTACCGGAGAGCTGCTATCCAGCATGTTTCAGTGGATTTTCCTGCTTTAACAGGTTAGATTAACTGTTAAGCAGCTCAGCTATTTGTTGCTGATTAAAACCAGGTGTGCTGAAGCAGATAAACCTCTAAAACATGCTGAATACTAGCTCTGGGGGCCGTGGAGACAAACCCTGCAGCTAATCCAATGCTATGGCTAACGGCTACTTACGTTCAGAGGTGGTTTTGTTGGGTCGGTTCTGGGAGTTACAGGCAACTCACAAGCTCACAACAATAAGGCTCAGGTCCGCTTGTCTCCTCCAAATAGACTTGGTCCCTTTCTTCCCGAGTGTCTGGGTAAGGAGGGGGAGAAACATCCTCCACTTCTAATAACTGCATAGAGTGAAGGGAGCTAGCATCTTCTAGTTAGCCGTCGTCTTCGTCACTGCCGCGGCTCCGCCCTCTCGGTCCTCCAGGCAACGCCTACTAATGTTGCATTTTTTAAAATTGATACGTGGGTGGAGAAGGACTCCGAGGCTCAATTGACCCGCTCTTTAAGCTCAGCACAAAAAAAAGTACTTACACCAAGCAGGTGTGTGACCTATCAAACATGGAGTACGCACAGCTGCACGCAATCTCTGCTTCATAAATCGGAGACTAACGAGAATGTTTCGCAGCTGCATTTTAGTCACATCCCGCCCTCACCACGCCCACTTACAGCCATAAATATTCAATGCAAAGTGCCTTGTGGATCTCATGCATATACATAAGCCGGCTGTTGCAGCGCTCCGCCAATGACGATGGCGACCGTAGATCAAGACAGATCAAGCAAGCGCTATTTCACAGAAACAGAAATTGAGGTACCTGTGGGTGAGGTGGAGAAATGAAAGGAAGTGCTTTTGCAAAACAAATAAGAGAAAATCCATGGAGTGGCACAGCGTTGCTGAAGCTGTCAATGCTGAATTCTTCAGAGAGATCTGTGGTGGATACAAAAAAAATGGTCCAATCAGGATTTGATCCCCAGACTCCCAGGTGAAAGTCATGTACACTAACCAGTCAGCCAAACAGAGATCTCCCCTGTACAAGTAGCCAGGGCGCATGATCAATCGGGTCACAGTGACAGGACACACTGTCACAGACGCATGATGTTCTGTCTCAATCTGTCCCCCTGCTGATATTCTGTATTCTGTATTCTGCGCTTCAGGCTGTGTGTGGGTGTGGGTGTGTGTGCACGCGTGTGTGCGTGTGGGGGGTCTTGTTCTGTGTGAAAACGAAGCAGTACAAGTGATAGTGCTGCAGGATTTCATAATTGTACACTACACACACTTCTCTGCTGTTGGCACAATGTTCATGCAGAAAATATCTTGTTTTCACAAGGAACACACTGCTATTCAAATATGCACACTGACTCATCACAAGGGCAAACACCTGTCACACAATTTTACAATTAGCAATCAGAGCTTTAGCATAAAAGGGCAACAGGTGAGCTCTTCTGTTTTGGAGCAATGGATGCCAACATTGGAAACAGAGGCAGAGCCAGAGGAGTGAGAGTAAGAGAGGACCAAGGGCCGCAATCTCTGATGAGATCCGAGCCACTTTGGTTGATCGTGTGGTCAACAATGGTCTTACAATGAGGGAGGCTGGGCAAAGAGTTCAGCCAAATTTGAGCAGGTGAACTGTAGCAACTATCATCCGGACTTTCCGAAATGCAAATAGGTAAGAAATCTTCTCTCAATAGAAAATGGCAGCATTGCAAATCAGTACAATCAGTATTCAAGGAGAATAGAAGTGATGTTGCCTGTGGACTGTTTTGTTGGACAGTAAAAATACTGTAAAGTATGTTTCCAGTATTTAGGAAATGTATACCTACTTTGTATTCACAATATTTTACTATTTGTTTGGCAGAACTGAAAGATTACCAAAACGAGGTGGGAACAGGAAACTGAAATCATGAACTTGGTCCTAGAAAACAATGCCATAACATTACGGCAAATACAAAGAAAAATATTAGAAAACAATGACATGTTTAAAAATATTGATAGGGTAAGCTTATCAACACTGGACCATGTCTTGCGCAGATATCATCTCAGGATGAAGCAGGTCTACAGAGTGCCATTTGAACGCAATTCAGAAAGATCCCTTCCTCGTCCTCCTCCTCCAAAGCCCCCGATCCCTAGATTTCTGGTTCCCCGTCGCTGGCCCCCCAGTGTCCCCTGTTCCCGGCTCCTGGTTCCCCGTCGCCGGCCTCCCAGAGTCCCCTGTTCCCTGGTTCCCCGTCGCCGGCCTCCCAGAGTCCCCTTTTCCCTGGTTCCCCGTCGCCGGCCTCACAGAGTCCCCTGGTCCCTCCTCGCCCACCCTTGTGGGTTGTTTTTTTGTTTTGGTCCCTATTCTCCCGCCCTGTGGTTTCTCTGGGAACCAGGAGCCTGGAGCAGGAGACTCTGGGGGGCCGGCAACGGGGAATCAGGAGCCGGGAGCTGGGAAATCTAGGGATCGAGGGCTTTTGAGGA